GCCTGCTAGGGCAATCTCTTGTTGCTAAAACAGGTCAAGGTACTCCTGTTTAAAGGCAAGTTGATTGCCCACACGTGTAGGCACTGGGGTGGAGCCAAATGGGGTGAGGCAGGGAAAGTGTTGGGTGATCGCAAGGGCAGGTGTTTTAAAATTTTTATCAAAGTAATTCATGAACATACTCTAAAGAGCCAAATAGTTTTTATACTTTAATCAGGATAAATATCTCCCCACCCACTGGTTTATTTTAAATGTCATAATTTTTATCATACTTTTAAAGTTAATCCCCACTGTCTAAAGAGGAGGAGATATTTGGGCACAGGGCCATAAGCATCTCTCTGAAAAGACCAGAAGTGAAAACAGCACAGCTTTTCTCCACTCCAGAGCAGAAAGCAGATAATGATCCCATAGCCCAGCCCCTTTGGTGCCTCTAGGTCCACAACAGCAGCAACAGATTTGTTTATTCTTTGTTGACTCACTGAATCACAATTGTGGTACTGAGAATGATGTTTATTAGGAAGTAAGTTATAGAGTGGGGCAGGCAAAGAATATCCCCTCAATACAAATGTAGGTTTTACCCCAAGTTCCTAGGCACAATTCTCAGTTTTTCCAGGCTCTGGTTTCAGTTCAGCAGTCAAATCCAAATCATCCAGCAAGATGTTCTTCAGAGTAGTTATAAGTCAGTTTCTCCTTCAGGCATCCAGCAAGAACAGCAAAAACTGTACCCAGCAGAAATACAAGGAGCTTCAGGTCACACCTTGCCACAGTTTCTCCACAGCTGTGCCATAGTCTCTCCCAACACCATCACCAGAATTTCACCAACAGAGTCTGTTCTGATCTCCCTCAAGTCTTGCTGCCCAGTATAGGAAGCACTTTATGCTAATACCACACTCATATTTTAAATTAATATACTTTAAGTTCTTTGTTTTGATTTTGCCTACCTTTTTTGGTTTTAGTTTGCATTATTTTTAAAAAACTGTTGTTTTTGTTGTTGATTGCTGTTGAGTCAAGCATGACTCATAGCAACCCTATGAACAAAGGGTCTGAAGCCTTTCTATAACTATCATCATTTATCAAAGTTCATAGTTTACAGAGGCATGTTATTTAGGAAGTGTATGCTACTTCTGCCTCCCAAATTGGTACCCATTAATTTCCACGTAGATATCTCCCCATTTTAATGTCTCTTTATACAGCAAAGTTTAAAGAGTATACACTATTTTTCCTGTCTTGTGACTTGTATTTCTGATATCGTATCTGAGAATTTATTCCTTTAAAAAGTGTCTTTTGCTTGTAGTCTTTGCCTTAGAGTCTTCTTGTAAGTTTACAGTTCTGATTCATTTTGGCTTAATATTTCTATATGGTATGATTGTGGGCCCAGTGTTATTATTTTTGCAGATGGAGATTCAGTTGTTTGTGGTCTGTTTGTTAAAGACTGTTTGTTCCTCATTGAATAGAATGGCATCCTTGCAAAAATTGCTTGGATTTATTTCTGAATCCTGTTATATTAGTCTGTCCTTACGTGCACCACACTGTTTTGAATACTGTAGTTTTAAAATATGTTTAGAATATGAGTTCTCTGTCTTCACTTATTTTATTAAAAATTGATTTTGTCTGTTTGGGTTTTCTTCCAGTTCCATGTAAACCTGAATTAATGAACTTATTTTTGTAATACATTTTAATATTTACCAATAAAATATTAAATGTGTCTTTTTCTCCCTAAAGGATTTTGATTTAATCTCCAAAGAACCAAAGCCTTTTGTATTTGAAGGAAAAGTACATGGTCCTATTGTCGTTCCCACAGCTGGAGAGGAACTATCTGGAAAGTCAAACATTTTAAGAAAAGGAAGTGTTGTGAAGGAGAGTGTCTCTCCTAAAGGAGCAGAAGATGAAAAAAAGCCTGCATTTATGGAGCTAGCAAAAGAGGACACTAAAGATAATGATAGAACATTACAACAGCAACCAGATGATCAAAATAGAACTCTTTCACCAGTCTGTGGTGCAAATAACGATATAGTGAAGGCCTTGGACCGAATTACTTTACAGAATATTCCTTCTCAAACATCCCTGGGTTATAATGCAGGAATGAAAAAGGACTATAGTCTTCCTCTTACTGTCCTTACATGCACTAAAGCATGCCCGCAGGTGGCTACTTGTGGAAATGTTCTGTTTGAGGGAAGGTCAGTTCATTTAGGGAAACTTTGTTGTACAGGAGCTGAAACAGAAGATGATGATGATACTGAGTCTAATTCGTCAGTGGAACAAACATTGGTTGATGTGGCTGATGGACCAACACTCCATGACTCAGATTTGTATGTTGAGATTGTGAAAAATACAAAGTCTGTCCCAGAATACTCCGAGGTGGCTTATCCTGATTATTTTGGTCACGTTCCACCTCCATTCAAGGAACCTATTCTAGAAAGGCCTTACGGTGTGCAAAGGTGAGTTGTGGACTTTTATTTTTTAAATAAGAGTGTTGTCAAAATAAGGAGCATCATTTAAAAAATCATTTTGCTATTTAGGAAGAAAATTATTTTTTATTAAAGTTTTTTGTCCTGTCTGGAAATCTTGCATTGTTTTAAAAATGTTCCTTGTGTCTAAGCTCCTTGTTTGTTCATAAAAAGCCAGTATAATTAATTAGGTTACTGAACAATATAGAAGTTTTAAAATTCAGATTAAATTTAAAAAGATAAAAACAGAATTTTATAATAATCTCTGGATAAATATTACCAGTTAGTAATTTGCTCATCATTTGGATTTGGTTTTGATGTAATTTGCATCGCTATAATAATGTAATGGTAAATGAAAATAATGCTGTAGTTATTATATTATTCTTAAGACAGTACTTGTGCTTTTAACTTTTAACCTCTAGTATAAGTAAACTTTTTTTTTAAAGTAAACACTCTTACTTGACAGCTTAATGTATAATTTATGCTTCTAGTCATGTCCTTGATTCATGCCTGTCTCACCAGAGTTTTCTAATATTTCCTTCCCTGTAAGGATGTCCCATTGATTTTCATGACCCTGGGAAGATGTTTGGTTTTTGCCTTCTTAGCTGTTGTAGAACAAAGAAATCAAAGTATGAAAAATAGAAAATATCTATCAGTTGATCTTCATTATATATTTTGTGTGATAGTGACTTGCCTAATTGTTTTATATAACCTCCTAGAAAATTCTATATGCTTTGTTGCAATAACAATATTTACTTTGTTTTTCCCTATTATATAATTGCCAGGACTATCAGAGACTTTGATCTCAGACAGGAATATAATCACATTTCAGTGAAACAGTATGGCTTTCTTAACATTATTTAGACTAGAACTTCCCCAGTAATATTAATTATTTTAGGTTAGCATTTGAAAAGAAATTAAAATACTTACAGATTGTATATTAGGTGATATTTAAAGGATATTGCTCACTTTACATACTTTTGCTACAAATATTTGTCAAGTTTCTGTGAAAGTTTTGATGAACAGTGTAGTCCCAAAGCTCAAAGAAACCATGCCTCAAGGCTTATTATTTTTCTTTTTTATGCATCATTTAAAAAATGGATAAAGCCTATTAAATTATTTATTCCTTAAAGTAACACTAATTTAAGCCTGAACGAAGAAATGCAGATAACAGAAATTGTTGACAGTTGAATTTGACTTAATAAGACTGGTCACATAGTATAGTGTATAAAATGATCTTCATAAAATGTATTCTGAAAGATAATTCAGAATGCTTAGATTCTATAATCCACTCTCCCTCCAACTTTGTATGTGTGTTGGGTCATGATTTTTAAAATTTCTTTTTTAAGGTCATGACTAAAAGATGTGGTAGGCATTTACCTAGATTCTGATTGGGAAACATGGCCTGTGATGAATTGTGCTAGCTGCCTACATTTATCCCACGGCTAAGGATGGTTCTTTTTTGAACCACGCAATGTGTCCTTGCTCTGTTCTGACAATTGCCTCCTGGTCCAACGATAGGTTTCACATAAACACGATGAAATGTTCTGTGATTCCCATTCTTTTCAGAGTGAGCTACAGTTTGTTGTGGTCCACACAGTCAAATGCTTTATAAAAAATACTTGCCATGAATAAATCATTGATTGTAAAAATTCTTTCATTTGATATTCAGTCTCATTTCTGTCACCAAGTCTGTATTTTCCAGTTAGCATTCCTTCCTTGCTTACAACTTTTGCATTCTAGTCACTAATAATTCTTAGTACATCTTGCTTGCATATTTGTTCTGTTTCAGACTGCAAAAATTGGTAGAAGTCTTTAATTTCTTCATCTTTGGCTTCAGTGGTTAGTGTATATATTTCAGATAGTTATATTTGCAAGTCTTTCCTGGATAGGACACGATCCCATCTGTGCTCCTGATAGCTTTGTACTGCAGGATTTTTTTACTATGAATGCATTCCTGGTGTAATAGATTGCATGATTGTCCGATTCAAACTGGCCAGTACCAGCCTGTCAGCTCACTAATGACTAGAATGTCAATCTTTATGAATTCCATTTCAGTTTTGACAGCTTCCAATAGTCCTAGATTCATACTTAATATATCCCATGCTCTAATAATCAGCCCTCCTTCATGGACTGGTCTCTCCTGGCACGTGCCCCAAGTATGTGGGATGGAGCTTCAAAATCCTGGTCTCGAAGGAGAAACTTGGTGTCTCCCTCTCCAAGACAGAACGATTTATTTTCTTGGCAATCCACGGTATATTCAGTACTCTTCTTCAGCACCACAACTTTAAGGCATTGATTCTTCTTCTGTCATCCCTAGTCATTGTCCAGCTCTCTGAAGCATAACAAGTAATTGAGAAGACCATGGCCTGGATTAGGTGCACCTTTGTCTCTAGACTGACATCGTTGCTTTTCAGCACTCTGTAGAGGTCCATGACAGCACATTTTCCCAGTGCAATTAATCTCTGATAAGTTTTGATTTTTGTTACATATTAATAGTGTTGTACTAAAAATACATAGCTAGAGGGATTATTGATTTTGTGAAATTGTTGTTCATGTTGTTTTTAGCTGAGATATTTTGGCGAATTGTTAGTATATATAACTGAGTTTAAAAAAAATTTCTTTTATGCTTTCAGGACAAAAATTGCTCAAGACATTGAACGACTAATACATCAGAGTGATATTATAGATCGAGTGGTTTATGACTTAGATAACCCAAAGTAAGTTAGCTTTTCTTCTTCATTTTGGTTGTTTAATTTTATAGTAAGATTTCAGTGTTATTTTTAAAACATAAAAGATTTGATTTCTTTCCACTTATTTTATCCTCATTGTATCAGTCATAAATTATGGCTTACATTGAGAAAAAAAGGAAATTCAGAATACTTAGTTGTGCTCATGCAAAATCTATAGATAGAAGCTGTTGTCAAAAAAACACAGTAGTACACTGCATGGTTTGAAACTGGGAATCAGCATTATATTTTTTTTCATATCTATTTAGTCTGTAGCTGACCAAATTATTCCAGAAACTGGACTGTATGAAAAAGAATGTGGCTTCAGATTTGGAAAAGGACTCATTAACAACGTGTGTTATGCAGATAACACAATCTTGTTGGTTGAAAGTGAAGGAGACTTGTGACACTTAATGCAGAAGATCAAAGACTGCAAGCTTCAGTATGGATTACATCTCAACATAAAGAAAACAAATCTTCATAACTAGATCAATTGACAACATCATATTAGATGGAGAAGATTGAAGTTGTCAGTCAAAAGGGTGATTTCATTTGAATCCACAGTCAATACCCATGGCAGCAGCAGTAGGAAATCGAAAGACGTGTTCTTCTTGTTGTTATTGTTGTTATGTGCCATCAAGTTGCTTGTGACACATAGTGACCCTATATGTACACGAGCCCTCAACCTTGTTCTATCCTGTGCCAACCTCATTGTCTCTGACACACTCCCACCACCCCAGTCACAGAATTGATCCATCTTATCGAGGGTCTTTCTTTTCTGTGCTGTCCCTCCACTCTTGCAAACGTGATATCCCTCTCCAAGGATCAGTCCCTCCTTGCAACATGCCCAAAGTATGTCAGATGATGCTTCAGAATCCTTGACTCCAAGGAGTATTCCAGCTTCATTCTCTCCAGGACAAACTTGTTTGTTCTCCTGGAAGTCCATGGAATATTCAACACTCTTCTCCAGCACCACAGCTCAAAGGCATCAATTCTCTTTCTGTCATCCCTAGTCACTGTCCAACTCTCCGATGTATAGCATGTAATTGCGAAGACTATAGCCTGGATCAGGCGTACCTTAGTCTCCAGCCTGATATCGTTGCTCTTCAGTACTCTTGAGAGGTCCCTGACAGCTGACTTTCCCAAGGCAATTTGTTTCTTGGCTGCTGGTACCAAGAGTGATCACTGTGGAGCCAAGCAAACGAAAACTATTAACTATCTCAGTCTCTTCACCATCCATACTGGTGCTGCCAGTTGGCCCAGTGGGGAAAATCTACTATCAAAGATCATTCCAAAGTACTGAAGAGCAGGTATGTCAATTAAAAGGCTAAGATGTACCTGATGCAAGCCATGGTCTTTTCAGTTACTTTTGGTGCATCTGAAAGTTGGACAATGAATAAGGAAGAAAATTCAGTGCCTTTGAATTGTGGTGTTGGAGAAGAGTGCTGAATATCATGGACTGCCAGAAGAATGACCAAGTCCGTCTTGGAGGAAATACATCCAGATTTCTCCCTTTAAAGCAAAGAAGCAGCAAGTAATGTTGGTGAGGATGTAGCGAGAAAGGAGCTATTATATATACATTGTTGATGGGATTGTGAAATGGTACAACCATTCTGGAAGGCAGTTTGATGCTTCCTCAAAAAGCTGAACATAGAAATTCCATATGACCCAGCTATTCTACTACTTGGAATATATCCTGGGGAAATGAAAAAAGAGGCACAAATGGGGACTTGTACACCAATATTCATAGCAGCATTATTAATCATCGCAAGTACATGGAAACAGTTCAGATGTTCAACGACAAATGAATGGATTCAGAAATTATGGTGCATTCATACAATGGAATATTATGCAGCAGTAAGGAGCAATAACTTTCTAAATTATTACCTAGCTTGAGACTGACTGGAGAGCATTATGCTGAGTGAACTATCTCAGTCTCACAAGGACAAATATTGTATAAAACAATGATTGTACAATGAGTATAAGGATCCAAGGGGAGAAGAGTGAAAGCAGAGGGATGAGCATGGGCAGGGGAAGGGGACAATTAATCATAGGGCTGTATAATTTGTTGAGTGGGGGAGTGAGAGAAATTGGAAGAATCTGTTCTGGAAAACAGTTTATTCAAATGTTGTAAATAAATGAGAATAATAATAATAAAAAGCAAAGGTGATGAAACTTTATCTCCTGTACTTAGATCATTTGGTTAGGAGGAGCTAATTTTTGGAATGGGGCATCATACAGGAAATGCTAGAAGGTTAACAAAAGAGCAAAAACCCTCAAAAAGATAGGTTTTCAGAGTGACTTTAAAAATGAACTTGCACATATCAGAGATTGTGAGGATGGCACAGGATAAGACACAGTTCAGATCTGTAGGTACCTGAAAGTTGTGGCACCTAACATGATTCTACAGCAGCAGCAAATGAGTTTTTATATTTCAGCATAGATGTAATGGTGAATCCTAGTTTTTTACTTATCACAAGCTTTTATTTGTTGTTAATAGTTTTAAGATAATGTTTGTTTATGATTTAAAATAGAGATCACAAAGTCTTTTTAAAATTTGAAATTAGCTGTACTAATAGACTTTGGCTCTTGCTCATATGTTATTTCATTAAATTCTTCTGTATCTGCCAATTCCTTTCTATACAATGACTCAGTATATTCCTTCCATCTTCTTTTAATACTTCCTGGATCATTTAATATTCTGCCCAAAGCATCCTTGATTATAGCAACTGTAGGTT